AGGGGCATTCAAACCACTTAGCTACTTCTCTGCTACAGAAAAAAAATAAATGAATAACGACTAATAGCTATTATAGAATCATGACTCTTTATTGAGTCCTCATTATGTACTAGGAAATACTTGGCATAAACTATTTTAATTCTCACAAATAACATATGAACTTCTATCACCATTTTATAAATGAAGAGAAATGTTCCTAGCAGTTAATTTATTTGCCAAAGGTCTAAAAATCTATTAAGTGGCAGAGCCAGGATTTGAACCCACAACTACCTGATTGTGAAGCCCGGAGGCATACATTAATCCATGGCCCACCCCAAAGCCCAGGATTTAGCTCCAGGTACTATTTAGAAATCATTTTAATCCTCTCCATAACAGAAAAGTATCATCAATATCTTCATCTACACTAAGACCACCAACTCTAGTACCAACTGTACCTCAATTTTACAAATAAAGAATCAAGATTAAGGAAGTCCAGAGACTTTTTCAAAGTCACCCAGCTAGTAAATGATCAAGTTAATGTAAGCTTAATCTGAACTAAACCTAATGGCACAAAATGAGCACTTCTTCTAAGAATGAAGGCTGGCTATAATCTTTCGCTCAGTCATGTCTCCTTGCAAGCTCCTTGCAATCTCAGTCAGACTCCTGGCAAGCCCATGGACTATACAGTCCATGGAATTGTCTAGGCCAGAATACTGGAGTGGGTAGCCTTTCCCTTCTCAAGGGGATCTTCCCAACCCTGGGATCGAACCCAAGTCTCCAGCATTGAAGGTGGATTTTTTACCAGCTGAGCCACAGGAGAAGTCCATAATCTTTCTAGAAAATGTGTATAACTTAACAAAAAATATTTTACTCACCAAAAATAATTATTTTAAAGATGCTTTGGTTTTAATAAATTAGAAACACATTAGAATCTAATGTTGATAGATACTTTCTTGGTTCTTAAACTCAAGGACAAAATTATGTCAGTCTCTTTTGGTGTGCTTGATATATAGCCTGCATCAAGAAATGTTTGCAGAATTTGTAATATCTACTTTGCAATCTGTCTAGAAAGCAGGAGATTTTGTCTGGGTCATCTGTATAACCTCTATGCCTAAAACAAGATCGAGCATATGTCTGTTTGATAAAATGCAAAACTATAAAATGGTAAAACTCTGGATGAAAATGCATTAAGCTGAAAGGAGTCTGCAAAATCTTTCTAATCTATTCCTTTCAAAGAGGAAAAGCTAGCTGCTTAAGACCACAGAGCTGGTTGAGAGCAGAGATTCAGAAACCATCTATTTTATTAAAAATAGACTAATTTTGTTTTATAATGTACTCCTGAAAACTGAAGTAGAACGAAACTTTTTTCACATCTATTTGGTGTATATGTAATCTACTTAATACTGTGATGATACACATGTGAGTAAGAACTGAATCATCTTTTAAATACTTTACATCCTAAATGGTGTGGCAGACATTTTTACACAATCTACCACAAGGTCGGTGAGAAAGTAACGGCACTGACTGAGGGAAAATTGAGAGGCTTTCTGGTTTAGGTGAGGGAAAAGGAATTCAAGATAGAGGGAAACAGATTTAGCACAAGCAATGACTCTTTTCTAAAATATCATGTAATGGAGAACATCAAATAATTTAACTTAGCTATACTGTATTGACAAATGGAAACTAATATTGTGACCCAAAATAGAGCTTTAAAAAAAATAACACTACTATTTTCACTACATCACTACATCAAAATTTACTACTGACATCACAGTACTCACTTTTTTGTTTGCTTTCAAACATGAGCAAGTTTTAAAAAAAGAGTATCTTAGTCCGAAGAAATATCTACATTTTAAAAATGTTTCATTATTTAGGCATTTTTCCTTTCCAAAGTAAGGCGATGTTTCAGGGTCAAAATTGAACTATTTCAATACTCAGTGTTGGTTTAAGGAGAAAAGGTTGCATAAGGAGCCTGGGACTCCTGAACTCAAAACACTTGGGCTCCAATTCAATGAGTTAATGGCTATAAGGAGGAAGCCTGGCTTTAAACAAGCCCTCAACTGGTAGTTACTATTTTTACTGTTACAGCTGTTGTTGATAGTGTAATGAAGACCAGTGAAAACAAAGTATTTAGAATATTTTAGAAAGTATTAATTACTATTCATAAATAAACATTATATGTTATATATAGATACTTTATGCTAGGTAAGATTATGATACAAAGGCTTACTATTATGAGCAGGCTGAAGGAGAACATTTTCTAAACCATTTCTGGTTTTGATGTATTTCTGTGTATGCTTTTGCTTCCCTGCCAAATTGCTAATTCTTTATTTCTGTCCTGCCGCCAACTTTTTCTAGTTCCAACTTTTTTGTAATTAATAATTTTTTTTCTGTAATTAGTAACAGTAACCACATTCAATGTCTTATTGCACTGAGTTGGTTAGACTTTTTCAATTCCTATTTTTCCCATTATAAACTATTTTCAAGCCACATGATTTTTTTTTTTTTCCTTTTTAAAAAGAAGTTTCCTGAGGCTGAGTCTTGAGAGACATGACTTTGGCATAGCTATTTTTTCAAACAAACTAAAATAAAGTCAACCACATATTTTTAAATGAAACAGACTTTCCCCCTGACTTTCTTCAATACCTAGAGTGGGGAGTGGTAGACACTTGATTTCAGAATTTTTGGTAACCAAATATTAAATGACTTAGCAATACAGAAAAGTACTGTGGATTTGACAGTAGTACTGATTTTTATCAATGTTAATGAACTGCATTGTCAAAATAACTTCAACATATGATGTCTGTGTTCCCATATTTAAATTATGAGGTGGTATAACCAACTATACATAAAAATTATGGAGAACCCACAAAGAGAAATTAGTGCAAAATTCTATTATCTCTGAGGGGAATTTTTTTAACTAATCCTTTGTTGGCATGAAAAAGACCATCAAATATATAATTTGACTGTACCATTTCCTTTCCTGCTTGAGCTACTACATGACCTCATTCTGCTAATTGCTAATATTGAAAGCTATGAGGCACAATAACATAATGGCAAGATAATTTTAGGAGGTGACTAAAATTAAGGGTGACTAGAGTGTATTGTTATATTAAGCTTTTATACAGAGCTTAACTGGTGCAAGGCCCTATTCTACACATCTTACGATATTCTAAAGAAGAAAGGGGGGCTAGCAACAAGGCAACTAAGAGCAAGGAGCAGAAAAGTGGAAAATAGAAATAGAACAATGAAAGGAATGAAGACTGAAATAATAAGGTGAAAAAAAGTACGCTGCAGTCAAGTGTTGTGAGATAGACTTAACAGTAAGGCTGCTTAAAGTCTATTTGAAAAGAGTTCATAATTTGTGACTTTATTGTTTCTAAAGTCATCACAATCAAGTAGTTTAAAAGTATGTAAAGTATATGCCATCTCTGTTATTGTTCTATTGTTTTTCACTGGTATCACCTACTGCATAAGGTTATTGCAAGGATTAAATGAGTTAATAAATGTACACTGCTTAGAAGAGTGACTGACAGTGAAGGCTATAGTCTTGTTAACAACTAGGAAAACTGCAGTGCCTGCTGCCATGGAACTTACCACCTAGAGGAGAAACATCCTTGGAGCATTTTGCTTAGAACTCAACTAGGACACTCAAAACATGTGCTGATGGTAAGTAACCAGGAGGATACACATATTTTTAAAATAGGAGAAAATATAAAGGAACTACTTTAAGACAAACTTTTTGAAGTAAGGGAAATACGATTCTTCTTAAGGTATGGGCCTTTATTCAAAAGGTACCAATATCACTGGTCTTGAAGAAAACTGCAGTGGCCAGGCTTAGCTGGAGTAGCCCTTTATAGACTGCCCTGGAAGGAACCACTCGTGTGATCATGGACCAATTCTTAACTCATCTGGCTCTGGTTTCCTGACTTTTAAAACAAAGGAACTAGGTGATCTCTAAGGCTCTTATATTCACATATAATATTACATTAGTAAATTTCATGAAATAAAAAAAAAATTTCATGAATTTACCTGGAGGAGTGAAAGTCTCAAGATAGGTTTTTTAAAAATCATGAAAGGTACAAGAACACAAAGACAGCATGAAATTAAAGGACTGAATTCATGCTCACAGGGTATGAATTTATGCTTGAAGAAAATGAATATCCTTAAGTCTGGAGCTATGATGATTTGTTTACTGGACTACCAAAATATTCCATCAGTATATGTGTTACATATTCATTTTCAAAGTAGTCTCTTACAACACACATCATTAAACAATAAGGAATTAAATAACAGATGGCTTGTTTCTTATAATACACATATTCTTTATGTAGCAAATACAATTTTCAATATTATAATTCAGTAGCAGGAAAAATTAATATCCAATTACAAAGACAAAATATATTTTATTTATGTGCATTACAAATTATGCAAAAACAACCCTCTCTAAATTAAAAGAAAAAATTAGAGGAAAAAAATTTCTAAATACTCAATGTGATACAATTTAAAAATTAGGTCCAGAACTAATTCTATACATGTTTTAAGTCACAAGGGGATAAATGTTTCCTTGAAACAATAAACAGTTTCAAAGTTGAAAAGACAACATAGGACAAAAAATAGTTTTAAGGGAACTGAAGGTTTCATCAGCCACATTTAACAGCAGGTTATGGTACAGCTCATAAAAAAAGAACCACAGAGCCTAGCAATGTCTTATGTATTTTAAAAGTTAACAAAGGGAGTGAGTCTGAATTATTAAAATGCAGAGTAACTAAAAGACAGATTATTGAATGATGCTACTTAAGTTGTTGCAATGTATACCAAAGAAGAGACCTTGAAATATTTTAAAATAAATAAAAATAAATATTTTAGCAAAATAAAAATCTAACAAACATGGAAACAATTTGGAGATTAAAATTTTCATTCTTGACTATTATATTAGATGTGATAAAGCTTACACTAGCCCCTTTAAGAATATACAAACCATACTTGTGTATCTCAGTGTTCTGTGCAGTTTACCATACCTGTGGATAGCTGTCAGTTCTTGGCAAAACTGATATGTCATAGGTGGCAGCAAAATGGCTCTTAGCTTGTTGGATCTGGCCGTAACGTTCTCTTTTTCTCCACTTGGCCCTTCGATTTTGAAACCAAACCTAGTTTTTTAAAAAAGTAGAATTTCAACTAAGGAATAGCTGGTAATGCAAATATGATGGTCAAAGACTTAAAATCAGAAAGGTAAACCAGGTCAAGAAAATTACAAAAGCAGAAATGTTTTTATATTAGAAAGGGATCCACAAGTTTTACTTTCTATTTTATTTTACCCCGATATAAGTGCCATGTCTCCTAGGCAATATAGTTTAATAGAATGAGACAAGATGTTTTCAAAACTTTATTTAATATGTCTGAGCCTCTATTTTTTTTACTTATGGAAAATAAAAAAGAATTAGATTATATGACCTTGAAGATTCCTTATATCTCCAAATTATCATAGATACTAATCCTCTCTCAAAGAATGCAAGTCTGAAAGACACTCATAACTTTTTAATTTGGGATTATGTATAGAACACGAACTCAGCCAATCTATAACCAAATTAATATCTAAGTCTGTCAAAACAATTATGTTTAAAACATGTCACAAAGTGAAAGCTCTTCTGGGCTGTACCCAGACTTACAAAAACTTAGAAAAATGTAAACAAACACATTACATCTAAAACATATGGCACCAGCAGAAATACAATGATTATTTAGAAGCAAACTAGTAGGATTACATGTTATATTGAGTATGATAAAGATTATGGATGAAATGGTATCATCTGAAGCTGAACTATGGTTTCAAAATATACAGATTGTTTAGACATAAATTGTATCACTTATAAGATTTATTTTCCCCTATAGAAAATGCTCATAAAATCTTACAGATAATTTCTCCAATTTAAAATACTTATGGATAATATAAATTTTAAAATAGGACAGATATAATCAAGTGTCAAGAAAGACTGTATTAGTATGGCCTCCACACAGTTACTAAGCTGTTTTCCAAATTTCTCTAATTAATTATATAGTAGAAACATCTATTCTATCATCTATCTCCCTCAGAGGGTTAAATATTAACCAGTTCACACTTGTAAGATCTCCAGAATCTTCATTTTAATATTTTAGGTATTAAAAGGTTATACAAAAAATTAAATTCAACATGTATAACTTGATATATAATTTACATGAGCAGCTTTCAGAAAACTGTTTAGTCTTCAGAGAACTAGCTTCAGAATACAAAATATTTAGGAAAAAAGCTGAAAATGAATCATAAAAATGCACATTGTAAAAAAAAGCATTTCACTGAAATTTATTTGAAATTTTTATTCTTTTTTGTATTCAATTCTACTCTCTTAACTCTTTTCCTTCACACTTATGGAGACGTTAATAATATTCAGTCTGGAGTGCAAGCAAGTATTGCAAATTTAAGATGGCAGTTTGCAGAGTTCTCAGCAATCAGAAGAAGGCAGAGAGCTACCTGTTCAGATGGTTTCTCAGAGCCCTGCTGGTGAGTGTGTATTACCCACTATATTCAGGGCTTAAGACAACAGTAACAACAAAAGAAAGCAAAGCACTTTTTCTCCATAGACGGGCACCAAGAGCATACTAAGGGAATTTAGTAATGAGGGCTTTTTTCTTTAGAAGAAAACCTTGACAACCACCTTAAAATAGGTGCCAATTACCACTCTTATGCAAAAAGCAAGGAAACTACCTGAGTAAATTAGGTTCAGGCTGACTCTGGGTGTATTCTTAGACCAAACTTAACCAGGACTTGGTGAAATGTTTAAGGGGAAAACAGACTTTGTGTACAGCTGATCAACTATGTGTAAACATATTTTTCTATGGTTGTGAGTATAACTAATTTAAATACATGAACACAAGACCAAAAAACACACAGGTGGGGTTTGTGTTAAGGCTTGACAATTCTCCATATTTACTTCCTGAACTAAGATAAAATAACCATTTGTCTCTATAAACTAAAGCAAAAATCTGCTGCTTGTTATTCGTGCACCACCAGATGTTGTCTTTAACAATGTATAAGAGACTTACAATGGCTCAGTCTTCAGAAGGAATACTATTACTCCACTCAGAACAAAAATTTATTTCTTTATTCTAGTGGTTTATGGAAATTGCAAAATTCAGTACTATTTTTTTTAGAGTCATAAAAACACACGAAACGAAAAGGTCATTCTGAATTACTCTTACTTGGGAACTAATGAAATAGTTTAAAAATATGAAGGCTAGGAAAAATAAAATACGCTTAAGAATTTTACCCAGTATTTTTAATTTTGTTTTTTCAAATTATTAAAAAATGTAGTATACTGAATTATCTAATTTGATAATTTGAACACAATTTTAGATATAACTTAATTGAATTTATACTTTTAAAAGTTACTTTTAAGACTATTATTCCTACTGCTTCTGAAAAAATCATGTAAGTTATCCAGATTTTACAAATTACAATGGAAAGCCATGTATTGACAATTGCTGGGATTAGAAAATTGTAGATGTGCTTATACTACTTTTCTTTAATTATATATAGTGAATATAGTTTACGGTATACCTAACAACTGAGTTTGTGAGACTGTCATTTTTTTCCTTTGTTTTATTATAACTCCAACCTTGGTAAAATTATAGATGCTTATGGGCCACTACACAAATAACTTACAAATCTAAGGTATATAACCACAAAAAGAGCTGATACAATAGAAAAATAAAATACATGAATTACTAAATTGGAGAGCTATGGTTCTGGGTTTTTGTCCTTTAAAGATCACTTTTTGAAATCAAATATTTGTTATCATATTCTGTTCTTCAAAAAGAAGCATTCGCTTTTATGCCTAAGTAATAAGTCAAGTTCTTTTCTCTTAGGCTTGTGTGTGAGTTGTTAAATCGTTTGCAATTAAAATGTAATTTTAGTAGACTTACATGCCTCTGCTACGCTGTTCTCTATCTTCAGCAGGAGAATCAGTTTCTGCCTTTGTGGTAAAACTTTGGAATAAACTTTGTGGTAAAACTCTGTGGCAACCCTGGAATCATTCTAACACTGCCCCACCTCCCCACTGCAAACACACATAGCCTCCAGCCTCCGTGGGCTCCTACCTGGACCCTGGCCTCAGTCAGCTCTGTCCTCAGAGCAAGCTGCTCTCTGACATACACATCCGGGTAGTGGGTCTTCTGAAAGACCTTTTCCAGCTCCTCCAGCTGCAGGCTGGTGAAGGTGGTTCGGTGTCTCCGCTTCTTGCTGCTGGATACGTTGCTGTCACACTTATCCCCGAGTTCGTCCAGTTCTCCCTTCTCTGGAATCCCTTTCACAGGAGACAACCGGAGACTGGCGCAGTTGTCCATGGCTCTGTTGAGTTCAGTGTGAAGAGGCTGTCCTTCTACTTTAGTGATCCCATAGTTCACTGCACCCAGAGGGGGGAAACACAGTTCTCAGGATTGCAAAACACCTTGATGAAAGAATTAAGTTGGAAGTGGTACAGAGCATCAGGCAGGGAGTCTGTTACGATTTATCCTGCCGGCATTGATTTGATCATCATATTATCCACTATTGGGCTTCCCTGGTAGCTCAGCTGGGAAGGAATCTGCCTGCAATGTGGGAAACCTGGGTTCGATCCCTGGGCTGGGAAGATCCCCTGGAGACAAGAACGGCTACCCACTCCAGCATTCTTGCCTGGAGAATTCCACAGACTGCACAGTCCATGCGGTCCAAAAGAGTCAAACAGGACTGAGTGACTTTCACTTTATCTATTATTATTAATTCACTTTGGGCAGGTTTAGAATCATCTAAAAATGTGTACACGGAACTTATATAATTTGCCAGCATCACATATAGCTCTGTTTTTCAGGATTAATGTAATATTTATCCACATAATTTATAATCAAAGTAATCATATGAAAAGATTCCCTGGTTTAAAAAAAACCCTAAATGACCATAATTTTTGAAAAGTGAGCCGAATTTCATATGTCTTATTTATTCACAGCAGACAAAAGTAAGCTACTAACAGGGCTCAAAAAGGACATTTCAATTTTAAATACTGTCTGTAAACCAAAATCCATACTCTTCTCAAAGTTATGTTTCTCCTTCACACAAAACCTATGGACTACAGATTTAAGAAATGGCATTGTTTCTACTATATTTCCAATATTTCAACTGCGTATCATGTCCACATTTAACATTTTAATTTCAAAAAGTGACCTACTAAGTTAAAAAAAGAATTTTCCTCAGTTTCTAAAAGTGTTTTTACAGAAAAGGATAAGATTTAAGTAGACTTCTTTAGCTACAGTTATCTAAATATGTCAAATTTATGCTTCACTCTTTTAAAACATGAAACTGTCTTAAGATAGAAAGCTTCACTCTTCCTTTCAATAAAGCACAAAATTTAAAACATCTATTAGAAGATTACAAAGGATATCATCCAGCATTCTGTTTAGGGGTGTTTTAATTTCAGTGACTTCCTCCAGATTCGATTGTGCCCCACACACAAATGTAATGGATACACATAACGAAATAGGAAACATTTTTTTAAGTCGGCTCAGCCATAACAACGATTTCCAATGAACTGTTACACTTTTTTCGTTTTTGTCTATTTTAAAATTTTCTTACAATGTGTTTTTAGAACTGCTTTACTTTAGTCCTTATACAAATGTATTGAACTCTAGTACCTAGGTAAATCAAATACCCAATAGCCTTTAGGCAAAAAAAGATGTGATGTAAAACTAAATATAAAGGAGAGCCTTGACTGATTAACAAACAATACAGTTTTGTCTCCGTGGGCAGAGTTAATGGGGAACTGCGGTAATTAGCGATGGGGGAGGGGAAACAGGCGTGAGGGTAAGGGCATCTCAGGAAAAAGGCAGGAACTTGCCTAAATTTAGCGGACTGCTTGTTGCCTACATTCACCTTACTTAAAACTTTCCTATCAAAATCCATCCTAACAGTGTGATGTTCTTTTAAAACTTTATAAAAGTATCAAAAATCACCTATTTCTCTTATTTTTGGAATCCCGACAATTTAAATAAAATATTATGATTCTTATTCAGCAGTCAACAGAGGACATTTCAGAACCATTTAAAAACAAATCCTGTCCATGGAAATAACTTTATGGATACACTTTAAAATTACAACATATAAATCCTGAAATCTGAAATACAGACAGAAAGTCAAAACTTTAGTATATTAAAATAAAATTATTTTTTCGCGTCTTTCTAAATAAATGAGACTTGGATTTTTCTGTTTGTTCCTTTATTTTTTATTTAACTTTGCAAGTCAAAAGTAACTTGCAACGCTGAACAAAATGAGGCCTTTTTTAAAAAAAAGGCTATTGCGTACTAAGTATTTAGAAGAGGAGCTACTATGAGCCAGTGGCTCGCCAGATTGAGAACCTCCATTAAAATAGGGGGCGGGAGGCTTGTTGTAAATATTTCACACTTAATTCGTTTGTTATTTTAAAGCAACCCGCTCCTTACAGCTTAACTGTGGAATATATACAATGATAAGGAAAAGTCCTCTTGGAATTGTAAACTTGCTTTAGCTGTCGCTATCTGAAAAAAATAGGTTTGTATTGGGTTACAAGATAGAAAAGATAGATGGTTTGTTTTGATAACATTTTGACTTTGAGATACTTGGCCATCCAAAGTGGAAGATTTCACCCAGAAGCATTCCGAAAGGCTTCTTAGAGGCGACTTCTACCGTGGAGACAGAAAAATCAGACAATGCGGAATTCGCGAGTGAGTGATTATATTCGGGATTCTTTGCCCGAAGCTATGTAAAGTGATTTGGCGTTGAACAAACATTTATGCTGTTGTATAGCAAACCCAAAAAAGCAAAAATCACAAATCCACAGAAACTCATCTAGTAAGCTTCTAACTTCACAAAGAAAGATATCGTTACGTCTTGAAAAATTTTAAAAAACCAAAACAAAAGGTTTTTCACCTAAGTTTTCTTGTTCGTGACGGCAGTGACGTCCTCTAACGAGCTGTGATGGATTTCAGCTCCCCCGGCCCGGGGCAGCGCGGCGGGCTCGCAGAGGAAGCGCGCTGTCTCGACTCAATTACGCTCTGCTTAGCGCCCTATCAGTTTACGCCCGGGTCCTGCCTGGGTAGCGGGACTCCAGGGCCCGTCTGGGACGCGACTCGGCAGCAAAAGAAGAACCGCGAGGATGCACCCCGGGGGCGCGGGCTCCTTCCTTGGCTCCCGCTCCCCCCCTCCCCGAAAGTCTGAGCAGCCCCAACTCCGCTTCCTAAAACCAGCACTGTTCCAACGCCTTCCTCCGCCCTCCAGCTCTCCCGCTCCCCCTTCCTTTCCTTCCGTCTTTCCTTCCTGTTTTCCTTCCTTCCCTCCGTCCTTCCCTCCCTCCCGGTCCCGACCGGTCCCCGCCCTCGGATCTGCGGGTGGGCTTCCGCGACCCCCCTGGAGCAGGGGACTCACCGCTGCTGTCCAGACTGGGCGAGGTCCTGTCGAGGCGCACGTGATGCTCGGCGCGGGGCAGGGGCCCAAAGGCCTGCACGCATTTGCCCGCCGACGCTTTGCTGTAAAAGGACTCATTGTCCAGCGTCTCCATAACGTGCTCCAACGCGCCTCCTGCGCCCATGTAAAAATCACTGTTTTTACTCGGTGGGCTCTTGAGGGCAAACTTCTCGCTCAGAAACTCCATAATCCTGGAAGGCTGTGGCAGAGCTCCCCGGAGCTCGGGGGGCTGGAGCGCGCTGGGGGAGGGAGCGAATGGGCGGGAGGAGGGAGGGCCGGAGAGGAGGGAAGGGGAAGCGAGCGCTGCGGCGACTGGAGCTTCCCGGCCCCGAGCCTTTTAAGACGTCCCGGCTGGAAAGGGGGCACCCGAAGTTGCTTTTATATCTTGAAACTCAGCTGGGCTCCTCGGGCAACCTCCCAGTTCTAATGAATATGAAAATAGGCAGGCGACTAAACTCCACCCCGGGCCCCCCTCCGCCCCCCACCCCACCCCCATCTTCCCCCCACTTACCCGGGCAGGGCGCGTCCAGGCCTAGGTTAGACAGACAGCTCCATTTCAAACAAATGCCAGCAGGGACGAGGCCACGACACTCAGAAACATTGTCGCCGCGACAGTGGACTGGCATTTCGGAAGAGCTTGGTGAGATCGCGAGGCAGTTAACCTTCCACTCCCCGCGCTCTGCGCCCTCCGGGGCCACCCGCCCGGCACCGGGTCCCCACCCCGCCCCCACGCCGGCCACTCACTACCAGAAAGATTTAGAGGCGTCTTAAGAACTTAAAAGGAAGTAATGCTCTAAGGGGCTTTTATTTCATCCGTAAATCGTTTATGTGGAAGATCCACATTAATCCGAAGCCCAAGAAGCCGGATACGTGGGCAGCTATTAACTGGGCTGGCCGTGGTCGAGGGGCCGCTGCTTCTTCCAATCCCGAGGAGTTCGGCGTCCGGGCGCTCTCGGCGCTTACGAACCCGTGGCCTTTCCTTTCTTTCTGGAATGCGGCGGCGTGTGGATGTGGTGGCAATGGGAGAGGGGAGCCGAGCAAGGCATTGAAACCATTATACCAATATCAACCTCATTTCTCCACCCTCTCCCACCCTCCCCTTGGTTCACGATTTTATCATTAGATCCAGATTATTTTAAGAAACCTCGATAGGAAAAGTGCCTCCTAAGGGTCCTTATTCTAGGCCAGAGGGGTTACACAAAGGGGTTTATGAAAGAGGAAGGCCTTCGTCGTGGTTTTAAAAAGATGATTACTTTAAAGGAGTCGTAGTGGAGTTTGGAAAAGCGCGTACGGGGAGCGACGGGCGCGCGCGGAGCTGGGCGCACCGGCGAGGCGGCGTCCCGGCGCGGGCTGGGCCGGGGCTTCGGTTCCCGCCCGAGGGGATGGGAGGAGGTTGGGGAGCTGGCGGCTCTCTGAGGGCAGAGCAGCGCTACGGGGTGGAAAGCCCCTCTGTGAGGCTTTAGAACTGCCTTTGGTATCGGAGGATCCCGCCGCGTCGGAGGGAAAAGCGTTCAGTGCCTTGGGCAAGAAAAGGCCGCCATTAGCAACAGGCCTTTTAAACTGGCAAATTTGGTGAAAACGCCCACAAGTTGGGCATTAAGGGTTGCGCCCTCCACGAGAGGCCTGCACCCGACAGCCTTTCTCGTACAGGCCCTAGCCGCGCCGATGGCGTCTCCCCAGCCCAGCGGGGCAGTAGCCCCGCAGACTTGGGCACGCCGGGCACCCTCGACCCTGGCGTGGCGAGGCCAAGCCCAATTCTGGCGAGCCTCCGGAGGGGCTCGGGAATCTCCATGTTCCTCAAGGTCTGGGCTGACCTAGGACTCACTGGAGACCCTCTTCGAGGCCACAGTGTGCCGCAGCCGGGCAAGAACAATGATGGAGCGCTCGGCATCTCAGACTTGCGCCTCAACACTGCTCTAGAAGCGCGGCGGGTCTTCAACCCAGATCGGGACGAGTGGAACCTCAGCAGGCGGCCCGGAGCCGCGGCCTCGCTCTCTCGGGACGCTTCTCCGGAGCAGGGGCACGAGATCGGTTAGTTCACGTGGCGCCGCGCCCGGCCTGGCCTTGAGCGCGCACTCGGGTTCCTGCGAGTTGACACTATTCCTGAATGATAGCACTTTTCCTGTATTATTATTACCATCTCCAAAGTCAGGCAGTCGGCACCAACCACTAATTGTTAAATCTCCAAGGGGCGCAGTCAAAGAAAAGCTTTCAGGGACTGCGGTGAGGGAGAATACCAGATTGTACCAAGGCGCAGGAACTCCTAGCCTGGCATCCAGGGATGGGAGGAGGGGAAGAATGTGGCGGGGGCGGGGAGGGGGGGGAGGCTGGAGGGCAATGCCAAGGAAAAGCTAGCGAGAAGGTACCCTGGAACATCCTGCCCATGCTTAAGGCGGAGAAGCAGGCTATGCGCTTCCTTAGCTCCTGCTAGTGGATCTTGGACCGTCCCTGTAGGAACGTTGGATGTTATCTACTCAGTCTTATGCGGGTTGAGGATTTTTTTATTCTCTCCTAGCCCCTTCTGTACCTTACCTTCAGATGTTCTTAAAGTACTTTCTCTAATAGACACGGGGAGGGTAAAAGAAATGGTCGTTTAATAGGTTTTTCAGAAATTCACAGCAGCAAGAACAACGCCTTACTGATTTGAGGAAATACACAAACAACTCCTAGCTATAAACTTAGTTACATTGTAGAGCTCTGTCAGCTTGTTTATAAATATGCGTCTTAAGAGCCCTAAATTCCCTGAAAAACATTCGGTGTCTCTTAAATGAAAGACATATGATGCAAGCTCTAGAGTACTTGTAAACCAATAAAGGTCCAGCTCGCAGAGTGAACTGCAGGAGAGCCAGGGTCGACAGCTGCATAGACCTGTTTCCACCCCACACCTCAATCAACCCCACTTTTGATGGTAGTGGTTGGCGGGATGGATGCAAGGTGTCACCAACCCCACTTAATATCCCTGAAGCCTCTTGGAAATGCAAGTCTATTATACAGAATCCCGTATGTTTGGGGACATGTAACCACATGTGCCCAAAGCAGAGGGAACAGCTAATGACAAACTCCCATAACGAATGCTTAATCGGTAGTTTTTGGCAAGAAGCTGGGTCTCCGGTTGCCAAGAGCTGGGTTAAATGGATTCTGAGAGGTTGAGATGCAGTTTATGGTCATGTCACAGCTCTAACCATTGGAGCATTAGATAATAAAATTAAAATATACTAATTAAAACAGCAATAATTAAATGATTTCTGGAAATCATAAGAAGGAAGAAAAAACTGGAAGCTGATTGGGTTGGAGTCTGCCTCATCCCCCCTTACATCTACCTGGTGCTTTGAAGATAACCTTAGAAATTGACCATAGCACTTTGATAAATACTTGGAACTCCTCTATTCAGAGCAGACATTGAACTTTCCTCTTCAACAGTCTTTAAAAACCTGCTTCTAATCCACATTCCTTATCCCAACCCTCCCCAATTCCAACTAGTCAGCATGGCTAGGGCTCCAGGGGCCAGTATTTAAGGAACCATGGCTGGCAAGAGAGACTCGGTTTATTAAACCATATTCTCACTGGGATTTTATCTCAGCACACTCAGTCATCATTCTCAGGCTACCATTCCCTTCTTTCCTCCACCTTTCTATTTTGCCTTGTGGAGAACTGTTCATCACTTTCCATACCTGGAACCTGGGTTCCAAATCCAGGATTCAGCTCCCCATCTTTCATATTAGTCAAGAAATCTACCTGGCTGAAAGCACTTGCAGGAGGTGGTGGGAATGGGGTAAAAGTGGAGTAGGAGAGGGGATGTGGGAGTAGGAGACAGAGGTGGGGAGACATCAATTTCTTTTAAATCCTAACAAAATGTATGACGTTGTAGGATGCCAGGGCTTTCAGATCCCTGGATATAACTACTGATGCTGCTGCTTCACATCTCTTTGATAAGACTGAGGCACAGTAAGTCAGGACGGAATGTGCAGAGTCTGGAAAGGAAAAGGATGAGGTTAACATGACTTACTGCAGGTTCCATCTTTGCAACACTGTTTTCTTATTCCTCTGGCACCAAGGATGCTAACACAGTGGGAAGGCTATTCTGTGAAGTCACTCTGATGTTCTGATTTGAAGTTACATTTAACATTTTTGCAACCAGTTTGCGGTTGTTGCTGCTGTTGTTAGGTGCCAGCTCCCCAAACACAGTGATTTGGGGTGTGTTTAAAGTCTTCTTTATTTAGCTCCTTTTAGAGCCTAGACTTAAAGTAACTAAGTAAACTCAAACTAGTTAAAAAGTCTATTGAAATGACTGGCCCCAACCCCCATTGCCCCACACACAAAGGTAATTCAGCTAAGTCAAGTTCAGATAAGGGATTGGCTGCCAGTTTGACTTATTGCATTTTAAAAAATTCTCACGGTCTGAAAGCTTCTTTTGATGCTCCCCTCTCCCATGAGAATGTATTTTGGGAAATGAAAAATATTTTGAGTACATGCATCAAAGCAGCAGTTGAAGCAATGTGTATACCACTATGGTTCCTTTCTCAACTTATTGAGAGAAATATCACACTTATATAGTAATAGTGGGAATGTCAAGCTAGGGTTGCAAGAATTCTCAGCCCTTTCTTTTTTCGGCAAGAGTTTGAGGCATATTGGTAAGTAAAGCTAGAAAAAATGCGTGCTGAATTAGATGAACTATGACAAATGTAGAAAAGCAAAAGTCTGCAGAGGGGAGGGGAAGCTGGGTAGAGGGAAAACTCTCATGAAAAAGTACAAAAATAATTGAATGTCATGTATGATGGCAAGAAGCCAGGTGGCCTCATGTTTTGTGTGTGCTCCGCTGCTTTCCTTCCCTGGCTTCATCTTCATTCTTCCCACAGCTCTACAGACATAACAGATACAGAAATGTATTTTGCATTGAAGCAGTTCAAGAAGTTTTCATCAAAATAATGTATATATACAAACCCAAAGAAACATTTAAGCTTTTTTAAAAAATATATGTTCCAATCCAGCATCAGCTACTCTGGAAAGCACTCCTACAGATTAATGTATAACTTTGTCATATTTTTGAAGCCTCTGTATTTTAATTAAAAAAAAACAACAACAGTGGCCTGAATTTTAATGATCCCTATCACAGTCTTTCAAGTGTGCTCTTAATGAAGCTCTCAAATAGGTTAAATTTACCTGTGATTTCAATTATAGTAAATATTTTGGTATTTTAGAAATCCATATGCTTTTTCAAAGACCTATGCTTGTTTCTGAATTTCAACTTGTTTCAGTGATAGTTACTTACACAGTTGCCCTTTTCTTAAAGAGAGAAATGGACTTAATTTCTGCTCTCCTAAAGGATCTAATTTAAATGTGAAAGTCTAAGATGACTATTTTCCCCACTTGCAAATATTTTGACTTATCTAACATGTCATCGCTTACATTTACTATAGAAATGTATTTTATTGCAAATATTGAAAAATCATCATTCAACTGTGATAATCTACCTTTATTTCTCATTATGACTTTCCTCATTGCTCCAGGAAGTTCTGAATATAATAAAATAAAAAGACAGTTAAACATAAATCTCTGTGACAGATATACTTTCATATAGTGTATAATTAAGCTAAATTGTATTCAATTCCTAAATCCAGATTTCACTAGCATATTATTAATCGCTTACCTATAACATGTCTTCCACCGTTTTGAGATGTGAATTATTAAAACTTCTATCCAATATGTTTTCAATACATTTTTCCTGTTGATTTATTAGATATGTCTTAAATACAGAACTTATATTCAAGAAGAGGCTGTGCACTTTTACGTGTTTAGTTTTCCAGTCCCTGGGAGAGACTTCTTAACATTGCAGTATAGGTAGAAGCAAAATGACAGGACGAATGTTTCTCCTTTGGACTGGAATTATACATAAATCCATGATCATTAAACAAATCTGGCCAGGATAGGGCCGAAAGACATAATCAAAGCATACCCAAACTGAGAGAAGCAGATTCTCTTCCCGTTAGACCCCTCCAGCCACTGAGCCCCTCCCTCGCCCTCGAAAACCTTTTGCCTCGCGTCAAGAAAACAGTGTGTGGGTGCAGAGGAGGTGCAGTTAGAACGCACCTCATCATAAGCAGCCCAAAGCCATTCGTAATCTAGTTTAACCTCTTTGCCGCTGTGCTTTATAAATTCAACAGAAAGAAGAAAAACTCGTTTATTACAACAAGGATTAGCCAGGGAGTGGGGACGAGGTATGAGGGAGAGCGCCAACACCTTCATTCAAAAAATCATTAAAGAACCTTAGAGGAAGCTCAAGATTAATATTTATTCACTTCTTTGAAACCTCTCCTGCCCACCTCCAACAATTCTGCTGTTAATTTTTATAAGGGAGCTTTAACTTGTAAAGCGCCCTAAGCAGAAATGCGGAATGAAAATGTCTCTGTGGCTCACGTTCGGAAAGCCGAGCTGCTGGGACACCCCTCACCGGGACGCAGGCTGGACACGCGGCTGCGAGCGGCGCCCGGCGGCGCGAACCCGCATCCGAGAGGCGGCACGCCGGTTCCGCCGCAGGCGCGGTCGACCCCACGCCGGCGCTCTCCAGTCGGGAACCAGAGAAGGCTGCGAGCCGAGCAAACTTGCGAGGGCCGGCTGCCGCGATCCCTGGCCCCCGTGGGTCGCCACCTGGAGCGCACCTTGGGTGGGTGGGGGGGGGGGGTAGGACCACCCTGCCGACTACCGGCCGGGGGAGCCGCAGGGCCCCGCCCGAGCGCGCTTCTGGGGTGAGGGTTGTCTCCAAACGCCGCCTGAGCTGACCTCAAAGCGGTAGGCGAAGTCACCTACCAGGCGAGAACGACGCTGTGGTCGAGAGAGCATTTGTGGAGGAATCTCTATTCTGAGCAAAGAGAATGAAGTTTCGCTTCTCCTGAAACCTTAAAAGAGCTTCCACGACTACAGAAAGAAGTTCGTGGTTAACCGATGTGCTACTAATATTTCATCAGTGCTCTCCCTCCTTTAATGGCTAATGCTTGGGAAAACGACATATTTTGAGCTTTCCATCCAAATATTGATATTGGCAAATAGATCATCCAGCCGTCCCCTGGTCAGGACAGGGCACTATTTGTTTCACAAGTTGGCAATCGAAATTAATCCATATCACAAACTGCTGCTGATTTGGGGGATGAAGCAGAAGACGTGTCATTCTCTTGAACAGTAACGTATGCTCGTGAGTGTGTGAAGTGGCGCGCACACTCACTCTTCTCCCTGCCTTCCACGGGGAATGAATGAGCCCCTCTGCCATGGGGAAAGCCAGTCTCGTCCTGATGGCAAGAGGTTCCGAGTGGGTGCTTTCAATGCCAGGCAATGGTCTGGTCTTCCCTTAAGATCTTGCTTTGCAGTAAACATTTCTTAACCTTTACTGGATTAAAAAAAAAAAAAGTCCTTTTTGTTAAACTGACGCACTACCTCTAGCAGGGTGGCGCCCGCCGCCTGGGCAGATGCCTACTAAGAAGGAATCCCCTGGACCTTAGCGGATTACGTCATTTCTTAGCTCTCCATGGCGGACGCCCCTTAGGACGTTTGCTGTAGTCACATCTTTCCTAGGTTCACAGTTTGGTCTTACAAAACGTCATGAACGCACAATTTATTAATGACGTTCAAATATAAGAAGCAATTAAAGTATTTACTGCTGTTCTACCAAATCCTTCGCCGACTCTTTTTCAAGTTCCCCAAAAGAAAGGGGGAAAAATGGCTCTAAATATTTCATTTATATTAGAGTCTTTGTCAGATTTCAACCTCTTGTGCAATACCAAATATATGTGTGTGTACGTGTATATATACATAAATACACGTATATGTATATAAGCTGAGTTTTGGAGGACTTTTAGTTTTAGAAAGAACTAATGTGAGGGGAAATCTCTTTAATGCAGTCACTTACAGGGAACCCCCATATTTCCAATAAATTCATTTCAGGTTAACATTAATGAAATTATTTGTTTTACTCTGTATTTGATTCACATGTCCCGCTTTTGGGGAGAGGGAGATGCAGTCATTCCTTTGCTACAGTAAGAATTGCTCAATAATTCAATTGAATTAAAGAAAATCTAAGTAACTGATTATTCTGTGTTTAGTAAGAATGCCCTTTAATCTTGTATCCTTTTTCATGTTAATACAACTCTGGATGTTGTCTTAGAGTTTAAAAAGAAGTATAAACTTTGGCAAAATAAAGGAAAAATACTTTATTAATGTAATTTTTATTTTTCATGAAATAAAATAGATCTGTGGGCAATGTTTTATTTGAGTTACATGAGCTTCTTAGGGCATCTTTAAATGGTGGATCACCATGGAGGCAAACCACATAGGATGTAAGAGCCTCTCTGAAGTATCTCATGCAACTTTTTGGCTCTAGAAGTGAACCCTGAAGAATCTTGTAAAGCATTTTTTAAATTGCCTTCAAGTATTATCTATTCAAGGTGGGCATTAATTCTATTCAATGTTTTCATCAACACATATATTTATTTCATTTAAAATTTTATGAAGTATAGTTTCTTAGGAGGGCTAGTTACAGTCTTAGACTACAAGAAAAATTGGGAGGCAGATATGTTTGGAGAAGATAGAATAGTGAAATTAAACCAGTGAAGATCAATATAAAGTTCCACATTAAGTTTTAAAAAATATATATATATATACAGGAGAAGGGCAGCAAAGCTTTATTACAAGGGGCCCATAGATGAAAGATCTGAAGACACTGAGACAACAGTGTGAGTTAGTTGCTAAGGTAGCAGCTACGAACTTAGCTTATATTGCGTTAATAAAAGTGAAGCAGTCACATAGGAAGAAAGATCAGGTCCTCACTACACACTGTATTATGCAGAAATCTAGGGAACAGAGCATTGGTCTGGAGACTATTTTTACTGAGAGAAAAGAACAATTTTGAGCTTTGCTAGTGTACAGGGGGTGAGTCAAAGAGGATTTGGAAACCATATTATGGAACGAATTGCTAAAGGAGTTAGTGATTTTTTAGCTAAGACCTACAAAAAAGTAATTAAATTTATTCAGTTTAGCCCCAGTGTGGAACTAAGTGTATCAAGGTCAGTTCGAAAACAGTTTTTTGTTTTGTTTTTATGTAAGAAGCAAACTTTTTTCTTAAACAATGATAGTTCTCTGTGACTAAAGCAGGCTGATGGTCAAAGCTACAGGCTGCTGGACAAGAGATGTTACAGAAATCTGTCTTATCTAAGTATCTCCCAAATCATGTTCTTAATGCCTGCACTAGCATCACTTCACAACAGATTCCTGTACTACCAAGTTCCAAATTAGGATTACTCTTTTCTGTTAAAAAAAAAAAATTTGTATCACGTTTTACCTTAATTATGAGCTAAAATTAAAGACTACACTTAGAAAGCAGGTGTTTTCTGTCAAATAACAATAGTATTCTTTGGGTCTGCTTGTATTTTTCTATCTAGATAAAGTTATCAACTTCTAGCATAATGTATATATAGACATATCTATTTATAACATCAAAAATACTGCAAAGTATAAACTAGACTCACCCAAGATTTGGGTCCAGCTCTGTCCAACACCTGCTGACAGTGTGATCCTGAGAAAGGTATGCACCCATTTAAGATTCAGTATCATCTTCTGTAACATGAACTGTGTCAGAGAAGGGGAGTAAATACAGAAGGAGTTAATGTATATAAAGTATTTAGTGACACTGCCTGGCCATATTATAGTCACTGAATGTTTACTATTATTATGATTTTTAAAATTCAGAATGGGGAAGCATCTTTAATGTTTTTTTTTAAAAAATGTTTACAGATTTTTTATTTTTTTTTTTATTCATAATAAAAATTTTTAAATCAATTTTTTTATTTTTAAGCATTTTTAATAAAAATGTGTTGTTGCTTAGCTGCTCAGTTGGGTCTGACTCTTTGCCGCCCTAGGGACTGCAGCCCACCAGGCTCCTCTGTCCAGGGAAGAATCCTAGAGTGGGTTGCCATTTCCTTCTCCAGGGGATCTTCCTGACCCAGGGATCGAACCTGTGTCTCCTGCACTGGTAGACAGGTTCTTTACTACTGAGCCACCAGGGATACCAAATAAATCTTATGGACATAGGTAAAAAATAAATTAATGGTGCTAAGAAATAAAAAGTGGTTTTTAAAACAGAAAATTCAATTATTTAAATTAAGAAAATGAAATATATAATTATCATTATTTAAGAGATAGAAAGAGGAAAAAGGGTCACATATCAGAAACAAATCTCCATGAAGATTCTATGTCCTGAGGTGTTTGTACTAGAGCAATGTAAATGTGCTTGCCCAAGACAAATATTCATTTAGGCTGTAAGAACAGGTATTGCCTCTTAACAAATTTTCCAAGATTTTTGTGACTTGGAAGACTTGGATCCTCCTTCCAGCTCTGTTATTAACCATCAATTTGTATAACCTAGAAGAAATAAAATCACCTGTTAAGGTCTCAACTTGTCTTGTTAAGATATTCACATTGTAAATCATGTTTTGAAGAAAAAAAAAGGCTATATTGAAGTTGTTAGAAATATAATTCTTGTCAATTAAACTATATGGTCTCTAGGGGGCTGATATGGTCTGAACCTTTGTGTCCTCCCCAAATTCATAATGTTTTGAGACATTAATCCCCAATATGATGCATTTGGAGGTGGGGCCTTTCATAGATAATTGGAGTTCTATTTGGTTATGAGAGTGACGCCTTCATGATGAGATTAATGCTCTCTTTTGAAGGGGTGAAGAGCCATGGGTCTCTCTCCTGCCATAATGTTAGCCAGGAAGAGGGCCCTCCTTTAGAACAGATCTCTGAATTCAAGATTTCAGAACTGTGAGAAATATTTGTTGCTTAAGCCACCCAGTCTATGGTATTCTGTTAGAACAATTCAAGCAGACTAGGACAGAGTCGGCTATACAGTCTAATATACTCCACATAAATATTAGAAATTCTAGCTTTTTCCAGCCATTGCTGGGATTAGAGGACTCAGAATGGTGCTCCCGAGAGCCTCATGGACTCATTCCCTGGGGTAGAGCAGCTTGTTCAGGATGTCACGGTGTGCAGCAATATCCTTGTGAGGAAAATATTTACAAAGAGTTCTGCCAGTGTCTATACTTGAAAGCAGCTTCTCTCAGATTTAAGTATCAGCATATGTGAAGTCAAATCTCAACAGACTCTGAAAGACTAATGCCTCTTAGTCATTCAGTTTTCTCCCACTTAACACGAATTTAAAAAATGAAAAAAATCAGTGTACCCATAAATCAGAGACTTTGTGATAGGCAACCATGCTCTTATCGTTTCGTATTTGAATAAGATTAGTATTTTGCCTGTGCTCAGTCACGTCTGACCCTTTGCACCCCTATGGACTGTAGCCCGCCAGGCTCCTCTGTCCATGGGATTCCAGCAAGAATACTGGAGTGGGTTGCCATTTCCTTCTCCAGGGATCTTCCCGACCCAGTGATCAAACCTGCGTCTGTTACATATCCTGAGTTGGCAGGTGGGTTCTTTACCACTAGCTCTACATGGGAAGGATTTGCCTAATCATGTTTATTATTATTTTGAAATTTGCCAGTAATTTTTGGTAATAACATTATCTGACAATACCAACACCTTCCTATTTTTGAAAACTATCACATAGCAATTTTCCACCTAGAGACCACACATGAAACCTAAAATCTCTGGACTGGACAGGTCTCAAGGTACTTTATCCAAAGCTACTTTCCAGTCCCTTTCTCCATTCATTCCCTGTCTCTCCCACCAGGCTCTTTCAG